TATATATCGTACATGTGATGACTACTTTAAAATATTATTATACAGTATATATTTCCAAAAACATACTTCTGTAATGTGATGCGCTGCTTTCTTTTGTATGAGTAATTCTTTGAAGTGGTTCAGTGTTTTCTCATAGTCAGGCCCACGTTCACTATCGAGCATTCTGGTTATGAGCAGGACATCTGTGTCGTCGCCCAGTATAGGATGTGGCAAGGGTCTGAAATCAATATTGGTAAGAATTAAGACATTTCTCCAATGGATTATCAGAAAGATATAACCAACTAAAGACAATGATATACACATTTTTCTTTTTCCATCCTCATGGGAATAGATAAAAATAGATAATAAAAAAATCCAATCATATAAAAATACAACGAAATACTAACATTTTGATGGTCAATGGTGAGCGTTTATCTTTATTTTTGGGCACTTTGCATAAGCTGACTTGCAGGCAAATGTGCTGATCACTGTCTACTTCTAATAATTCTTTAGATTCAGCCAATAATTTGTTGCATAATTTTCTAACACCTGCAACAGCTGCTCGCACCTGTGAAGTTCAAAAGTAAAATCATAATTCACATATACATTCTTTCAAAAGCTTTACAAATGTAAAATTATAGCACCAGAAAACATTTCAATTTCTTTTCTCACTTCTCTCTTACTCTAGTGAGAAGGAAAGTTTTTTTTTTTTTTTTCAAATGTTAAATCTTAAATGTTATCTACTTATACAGAACAGAATAAATGCACAAGATTACTTACCTGCATCTCACTTAATTCAGAAATTTGTGTGGCAGCCTTCTCTTTTTTCACTTTACTTTCCTGTGCTGATTTATCCTGCTTCTGTTTCTTTTGCCCAGCTTTTGACTTCTTTTTGCTTCCCTTAATCCTGTGCTCCCACATCTTAGCCTTCAAAAGCCTCTCCCTTCTAGCCTCCTTGGATGATTTCTTTGCAATTGTTGTCAAACCAGGTTTTTTCATCACACCTTTTAGGCCTTTCCTTTAAGAGAATGTGATGTTATAATAAACAGTTATCATATAGATGTGTAAAGTAACCCACAGGTGGTATTCTGATGAAATTCTATTTTATGTAAATTTAGGAAACTTTATTTATGAAATAAAGAAAAGGAGGGGGGGAAGAGTAAATCAATGGTGACAATTCAATAATGACAAGTTGTGGCCTTATACAAAATTTAAATGTGGGTGGGGAGAGAGAGAGAGAGAGAGAACAAACTATCATACATTTTGATACACAGTGAGGAAATCTCAACCTCTTTATTCAACAAGAACAATATTAGATTGAATTAACAGCTAAGTTCTTTGTTATAGGCTATATAGCTATTGCACTGCCATACCTAACCAACTATTAACAATATTGGACTGATAGTTGGGAATCTGCTGGGTGAAAACAGAAACAAATCCTCGTACCAAACATAATATCCTATTACACGAGTTATAAATAATAATCAACCACACCTAGTTTATTACGTCTCCCATACTATAGCATGACAAATAATCTAAGATACCATAAACTATTTTTTTAAATCATATATATATATATATATATATATATATATATATATATATATATATATATATATATATATATATATATATATATATATATATATATATATATATATATGTATATATATATATATATATATATATGTATATATATATATATGTATATATATATATGTATATATATATATGTGTATATATATATATGTATATATATATGTATATGTATATATATATGTATATGTATATATATATGTATATGTATATATATATGTATATGTATATATATATGTATATGTATATATATATGTATATGTATATATATATGTATATGTATATATATATGTATATGTATATATATATGTATATGTATATATATATGTATATATATATATATATATATATATATATATATATATATATATATATATATATATATATATATATATATATATGTATATATATGTATATATATATATATATATATATATATATATATATATATATATATATATGTATATATATATATATATATATATATATATATGTATATATATATATATATATATATATATATATATATATATATATATATATATATATATATATATATATGTATATATATATATATATGTATATATATATATGCATATATATATATGTATATATATATATGCATATATATATATGTATATATATATATGTATATATATATATGCATATATATATATATATATATATATATATATATATATATATATATATATATATATATATATATATATATATATATTATGTATATATATGTATATATATGTATATATATGTATATATATGTATATATATGTATATATATGTATATATATGTATATATATGTATATATATGTATATATATGTATATATATGTATGTATATATATGTATGTATATATATGTATGTATATATATGTATGTATATATATGTATATATATATATGTATATATATATATGTATATATATGTATATGTATATATATGTATATGATATGTATATGTATATGTATATGTATATATATATATATATATATATATATATATATATATATATATATATATATATATACACATACATATATATACATATATATATAAAGAATCTATTGGTTTTAAGAAATGTGAGATTAACATCATTAAATGTTTTTTTTAATGCAAATTTACTGGGGATACCCAGTACCATTTACAAACTTTTGAGAAAGATTACACTATTGTTTACATTTGAGACAGTTCAAGATAATGAGGTTTGTGGAACCATTTGTTTTTTTTGAACTTGGCTAACATCTGTGAAAACTAGTCCATAATTTAATGATACTTCCCAAGGTATATATATATAATGCAGCCATTTTAGTTCATATTGAAATATATGCGCATTACATGAGTGCACTTACTTGGTAAATCTTTACATTATGGATGAACTAACCTAAGGCAATTTGAAGATACTCTTACAGAGGACAAAAAGTTGCAGTTACCAATACTAGAAAAATCTGTAGACCCAATCAGTAATGCCACAAATAATGGAAAAAATATCAGGCTAAGTTCACTCTGTGCTTCCAAGTCACTGCTCTATCTTGCCATGAATAGAAGGTGAAGACATATTTAGCAGGAGGTACCCCCATCAACCCTCCCCTTGGACAGTGCCCATGACGGCAACTAAGAGAATGTTGAATAAATTTTGTGACATGGTATTGGGGACTTTGTTTCTGGCATTTATGCCATACTAATGAGATTTACAATTAATTCTTTTACTGGCAATTTTTTTTGAATACCTTTCAATAATGAATTGCAACAATTTTGGTATCAATAGCTCCCTCTTGCTCTCTACAATCCAAATATACCTTAAATATGCTGCAGAAACCCCCATTAGCATCATTCTTGAACCCTGATAGTAGGGGAGGACCTCAAAACTACCAAGAAAATTGTGGGGTAGAATATGGCTAATAAAACACTTCCCAACCCTCACAATGGAAACCATGAATTCTCTATTTTTTGGTGGCAGGGTAGAACATATAAACGACACGCAGGAGTGCCTGATACCAAGTCTGCCCTGCCTTGGAGACATAAAGGATTCTTTGTTTGGTTAATGTTATCAAGAGCTATGCACAGAGATAGAGGGAAATAGACACTGCCATCTTACAGAGCATAAACAATAGAGTAATAAATAATACAGGTATAGCTGCAGTGACCTAATATTTATCATGAAATGAAGAAATTATCTGCTACATGTCATTGCTCATAGTAAGTTCATAACACCTTCACACACACTGGAATTCTTAATGTTCATTTTTCATAGGTTGGAACAAAGTGTTAGTAAAGGGGAGGTATCCTTGCCCCTGTCTAAGGAATAAATAGAAGGTAGGAAATGTTTGTTTTGGATATTGGTTTTGCATGATAGCCTAATTTTGGGATTTCATCTCTGTGCGTAACTCCTGGTAACAAATACCTTTTGTTTTCCTGGGAAGGGGGCTTGGCCTCCTGCATTATGTTACTGAGACCGATGCACTCTCCAAAGACAAGTCTCAAACACAAGTTATCATGCAAACCCAAAAATCCATACCTGTCCTTATCTACCTTTTGTTTATTCCCTAAACATGAAGGGCAAGCTCCTCCTGTACCCCTCTTTATTAGGAAAAGAAAGAAAGAAAAAAACTATACTCTGGAGATTAATGGCAATGCACCAACTTTGAGCACGAAAGTTTGTTACATTTACAGATTAAGTGCTTTGTTAAGATGCCGCAAGGCGTGACCTGAATTAGGTTAAGAAATCTGGCTGTCTGAAAAGTGTTGCGGACTTAGTCGCTGTGCGGTGATATGCATTGCATATTTTTGTTGTTTCGTGATAAATATAAAGCTGGAGCAGCTGTTCCTGTAAAGTCTCATACTCTATATTTTATGACCTATAAGATGGCAGTGTTCATTGCTCTCTATCTCAGTGACATTACCTGTTATATTATTGTTAGTTTAGCCTGCAATTTCCCTGGTACCTTCCATACCCTCCCCTGCTATCGGGGCCAAGAATGTCGGGGTTTGGGGGGTTCCTACATATATTTGTACTAGATGGTGAATGAAATCCATCCATACCAAAATAGTCTCCATGTTATGTGAAAGCATTGTGATTTTTCTTACTTATTTCCATGCAGATAATTGCATAACATAGAGTGAGAATATCTAATTTCTGATTAAAGGTAGCGTGGGGTTGATCTGCACTTCACCCATCCTTTCATTTGACAAACCCTTCTACCCAAAATAACCCAACAGTATCAACAAAACAACCATCTATTTATCATCAATACATAACATAAACTTTTCAATGTCTTACTTTTTTCCACCAGCCTTTTTTTCAGTAGCAGGAGCCATGTTTCTTTAGTTATTCTCTCTCGTTTCCCTCTCACACCTTATGGGGCCGCTGAGCCTTCTGCACCACGTGCGTTCGACAACAACAACCG